ATTTAGTTATTGTAATTTAAAGTTATGGTAACGATTTAATCCCTATCTTGATATTTTTTTTGTTAAGTTTCTTATATATATAGATGGATAAACTAAAGAGGGACCAAACATGTTTAATTAAAAAGATTAAATTATTATATGATAAAATTTGACACTTAATTTTAATAAAAATTTTTATTATAGGGACTAAATTGTTACAAATTTTAAACTAAAGGAACTAAATCATTACTAGTTAAAGTTTAGAGACTAAATTGTTACTTTAGTGAAAGTACAATGACTAAATCGTTACAAACTAAAGTTCAGGGACCAAATTGTTACTTTACCGAAAATACAGGAATCAAATATGTTTGTTAACCCAATAAATATTTATCCATTCAACTCTGCTTAAATTTACCATTCATAAATAAATGACTCATAAACTATGGTAATTATATGGTAATTAAGTCAAAATATATAGTTACTCGAGGGCACAAGTCACAGAGTTTAAAGTATATATTTTTGGTTGCTATTTGCTCCTTCAAGATTCATATAAATAATTGACGGGTTGGAATCAGCTTTGGCTCGTCAAACTTTTGACTTTGAATTGGAAGGGGGAAGCATTTAGGCCACGAGGCTTTTAATAACAGCAAATCTTATCCATGTCACATACGTCATAAATTCACATTTAATGTAATAATTTGTAAGTTAAATTAAACAAATCAAGTTAGGCCCATCAGAAATAATTTTCAATCCCCACATGCCGTTTTGATAGATCAAATTGACGTTTTAGTGTGTGTGTGCATTGATAATAGCAACTCCCAATCGCGATTCTACATTAAAAAATTTCACACAAAATTCACGACAAGTTTGGGTTGACATTTCATACATTATTCATTATTCATTGATCTCAAATACATTATGTGCAATGTCACATCAATTTACTTAGCTTCCAAACATGACTTTCATATTGCATTCTCGACCCAAACACATGATTTAATTAATTTATTGCACCATATTTTTGTTTTCGGACAATAAATGTGTGAGTGCAAATTTGAATCTCTAACTTCAAGGGGAGGAGTCAATGTCTTTTATTGTAGAACTATGTTGCGACATTAATTAGATTTCCATGTAGTAATTATAATAATAAGATTACATGTGTTATAAGTGAATAAACGTCCTCCAAACGGAGATTATGTGAGGCCAATCTCGAACACGTGAAAGCCTACCTCGACCAAATAGACCAGAGGTCAAGTAAGGTTGGAGCTCAACTTGGCCAAAGAATTAGAGCTCATCTCCCACTTGGTCTTAGGCCAAGAAAGATAGAACCCACGAAGGAAGAAGAGCTCATCCCATCAAGTTAAGGTTTTAATGTGTAACAAACCTATTTTTTGGTCTCACTCCGCCTCAAATAAATCAACCTGGTCGTAAAAATAAAATGTGCAGTCGTAATGTGTAGAAGCACAAACTTTTTAGTGGTGGTTGATAGGTGTTGTTGCACATATCAAAGGCGACTGTGAATAGTAGTTGATGCTCTGTTTCAAAGGCATGACAGTAGTGTTTGGTAGAGGCAAGATCTTGAGGTTGTAGTACATCGTCGGCAACTTATTCTCGTGGGTATTTGATGAGGTTTTTTATTCTGTATTCCTAAATAGCTATTGTCGTAGTGTTTAGAAACTAGATGACCCAGTATTATGACATCTAGAGAGAGTTTTGTACAACATGTGTGAGACTCATTGTATTTATCCCAATATCATAGTAGAACTCATTGTCGCGAAAAACTAGACATAGCCCATAGTTGAGTGAACTATTATAAATTGATTATATCGTTTTATTTCTTTCCTTATATTTCTCTTCATTTTGATTGACTGAGTTTTCACTGAAAATTTGTGGTCGGAGGAATTGTTATTGGTAAGTAATTTTCCCAACAAGGTACACACAAACCTAGGTATATGAAATGATTAGGTTGCAAGATTGTCCTTCGGGTGCCTCATAAATATCGAAACTCACCTTATATTCAGGTATGCAAAAATTACCCTAGCTTTGCTGGACACCTTGACTGTCATTACTATCTGGGATCCAACACTGACAAGCTGGTTCACCCGTACCAGAATTACGCATCAATCATTGGAATCAAGACTAATCAAAATTTGATAGCTATCTCTGTATTAAATTGAAAGACATAATTTTACTTTTACACGACCATGGTGGGTCAATTTTAATTTTGAACTTCCAATTTAATTTCATAAAATAGTTTACTATGGATTGGTTAAAATTTTCATTCCTTTAATCTATGTGGCTATCGTCTATGAGCATACTCTTTGCAAAAAGAATATCTGTGAGCATACTTGTGGTTGAACGATATTGTTTTTGTGAATATTAGCTTATTTGGTAACGTAATTTATTATTATTAATTCCTTTTTTTTTTGAAGTTGGGTATTTTATTGCAAAATTTGGACCCATTTTTACCCATTTTTGGGTAAATTTGTATATTTTGGTAATTGAGTATCAACATTCTTATACTTTAAATTTGAGTATTTTTATTGTTTAAATTTTATGTGATTAATTTATTGCTGTCTTGTGAACTCTCTGATTCACCTTTGAAAAAAATATTAACTTTATCATTCTAATCATTCAAATTTAATTAAGATTAAATTGGATGAAATTGAAAGATTTTTTTTTGAGTACGATAAATTGAAATTTAAGATTAAAAATGTGACTTAGAACTAAATATAAGAGTAAAACTGAGTTTTTCCTTAAAAAGTTAGGCAGAGATAAACGTTGTTAGAAAAATAATTTTTTATGAAAAAAAAAGAAAAAGAAGAAGAATGTTGAAAATTATATTCCATTTTGTTTGAAATTTTAATTTATGTAGTTTGAAAATTTACTTAAAAATTATTTTTATATTATTATTATTATTATTTATAAAATAAAATTATTGTTTTTTAATGATTGGAATTTTGGAAAAGTCATTTTGAAGAAATCAAATGGCTTATACTTGACCCATGAATCCAACTCAAACCCACCATCATTGAACACAACTTTTCCTCTCATTAATTATTATTATTATTATTATTATTATTATTTTAGAGAAGACTCTAATTATTATTATTATTATTATTATTAAAAGAGAGAGAGAAACACGACACTTTACTTTACCTAACTATCACCTAATCCAATTACCCATTTCTTTGTGTAAAAAACAGAATGCTCAAACCACGTGGCGGGATCTGGGAGTGTGCTTTTTATTATTTTGATTAAAATTTTATATTTATCTATTTTTATTTTAAATTCCAATTTTATCCTATTAAATCAAGAGTTCACTCAATAAAATACTCGAGATCAAATAAAAAACATATACCTAAGTCTACTAAGAAAAGCTAATTTGAACACAATTGATAAGATATATATCGTCAACCAAAAGATTAAAAGTTTCGAGTCCTCGTCCCAAATATTGTTGAACTAGAAAAAAAGAAAACAAAAAAACCTAAACAAAGGTATAAAATGTAGATACAAATCCAAATGGATAAAAGAGTTTAACACTAAAACCAAACTAAAAGTCATCCAACAAAATGGTAACTAATACCCCACGAAAAAGTAATTAATATTGTTTGACCATGTAAAAACGAAACACTAGTATATATCTAACCACAATTTATCTAATAGGCATGTTATTTGTAAAGGAGTAAGGTAAGTAAGTGGATGAACAAGTTGAATTAGTCGTCCCACCATATATTCATGCCTACCATTTGTCACGCATGAACAACTGTTCAATCTCTACCTTCATATTTTGTTTAACTCAAAGAATTAAAAAAAATGTTTAGATTAAATTCATGACAGATCCAAGATTTTAACTAATTAAAAATAAAAATAGAAAAAAATAATGAATAATATTTGTGCACGAAAATGACCATCTAAGCAAAGAGAAGAAGCTGATTCTCTCTATAGATCTCGATGGCCAAACTGATGATGAGCATTGATCAAGTCAGTGAAGTGCATCCTTTCTGCAGTAGGATAGGACGAGGTCGATCTGGCTCATTTCTTACGGTTTTAGGCATACCTCCCTTAACTGCCGAATACATGAGAGTCTACGTTTTCACCCTCGTAACAAATAGTGTTGGAAATGGTGCTTCTAGCAGGGTTCCTCCCCTGGAGTCAAATGTGACTACTTCAACATGGATCATTCAAATGTATTTTTCACCCAACTTTTAGATTTTTAATTCTTTTGAGATACTTTTTACTTTTCTTTGGATTATAAAAGTCAGTACCTGCTCCCTTTCTTTTCTCGTCTTCGCCTAGTCAAACTCAGCCGTTGCCTTTTCCCCCTTCCTTCTTTTAGAATCTATCTTCTCATTGAGAAAAAACATATCTTATTTTTATCTCCAATTCTATTTTGGTAAGTTTATTATATTTTCATGTCTCATATTTTAAAATATCTATTATAGTAAACTTTTTAAAAGATGATAATTAGACTAAAAAAATTAACGTGCCTTTGAATATGTATTTTTGTTATATAATAATTTCTCGGATTAGAACATGAAGACTTTAGATCAAAGATATATATTTTAACTAGTTGAACTAGATTCAGATCGGTTGTCTTTTAGCATGTGTAGATAAATTAGATGGCCATATTAAACACCTAGATATTAAGTGGAAAAATAAGATACTTGCTTCTGTAACAATAACAACGAATCTTCACCTTAATACCATTAAACGAGAGAGAACTATAAAAATAGAAAAAAAGGAACGACTACTCAGTTTTTCAATGATGATGGACTAAAATTTTTGAGATGCCAAGTATTTTGGAAAAATAACACCACAGAAAACTAAAATGTTTATTTCTTAAAAATATACAGAAAGTTAAAGAGGACCGTAATGAAATAAAATAGGAAAGCTGAGAGATAAAATTAGAAAAGTCCAGGGACCTTAAAGTAAAACAAAACTTAATTTGTTTCTCTCTCTTTAACACATTATATTATATTTGCACACATTCTCTCTCTCCAAACGCATGTATCCGTACATTCTCTCTCCCTGTTGGCAATACCCAACAGGTCATTGCGCGTCCGCTTCCGCTTGGCTTGCTCGGAATCTTCCATGGCAGAACGCCAAAATGTGAGTTGAAAGGGTCTGTTCATGTTTTATCCTCTATATATACACCATAATCGCAAGCTCCTCCCATCTCACCATCTCCATACATAATTTGGTGTTGAACAAAGTTAGCAACACAGAGGAAAGGTTGAAGAACAATGAAGTTCGGGAAGGAATTCACAGCTCAAATGGTGCCGGAATGGCACGAAGCGTACATGGACTACAATTTCCTCAAATCTCTTCTGAAGGAGATTCAGAGATTCAAGCTAAGAAGCGGCCCTCCGGCGCACCCGCCGCAGCCTTCCGGCCTGAAGCGCAAGCTCACTCTCTACAGAGCCTTCAGCGGCCTCACCCAGCGCCACGTCCATCCCTCCACCCCCTCCTCCGCCTCCGACATCGAGAGCCAGGCCATTCTCGTGACCTCTATGCACGAGGATGGCGCCCAGAACTACAGGACCACCTTCCTCATGGCCGCCGACGAGGGCTCCGAGTACGAGCTCGTCTATTTCCGGCGCCTCGACGATGAGTTCAACAAAGTGGATAAGTTCTACAGGGCGAAGGTGGAGGAGGTTATGCAGGAAGCGGAGATGCTGAATAAGCAGATGGATGCTCTGATTGCTTTCAGGGTCAAGGTCGAGAATCCCCAGGGTTTGGTGTTCGACATGTCGGAGAAGACTGTGGAGATGACTCGCCTTGCTTCTGGCATTGCTGCTTCTTCCGCTGCCTTGGCGGCTTCCACCCCCAAAGGGGCCAAATCTGGAAGTAAGTTCTCCCCTGAATTTTCTGCTAGATTGTTCATGTTTGATGTAATGTTCTGCCGTTTCTGAGTGTGTTCATAGCTCTGATTAGACTGTGTTTGGCTTGAATTGTAGAGGAAACTAAGTAAAGAACTGTTTGAATGTGTGTTTTGAATGAGCAGAGAGACCTCATATGGCCATGGAGATTATAGAAGAAGGGGGGTTAGGTGAGCTTGGGCAATTGGATGAATTGAATGAAGAGGGGGACGAGATCGAGACGAAACCGAGAGATAAAAAGGTCGAATATCAAGATAATTCCAACAAAACGAAGGGTGTTAGACCACCTCCATTAGAAGTTCTTGATCGTGTGAAAATGAATAATCCAATCGAAACGCCGCGTTCGACCATCAAGGACTTCCTTAAGTTCCCCAAAAACTCAGACCTCAGGTTCAGCAGAGACAATCTGAAGAAAGTTGAAGAACAACTCAAGCAGGCCTTCTCTGTGTTCTACCAGAAACTTAGGCTTTTGAAGAGCTTCAGGTACATCTCTTTTTCTTCTTGGCCGCCACCATGTTTTTCCAATGTTTCAACTGCTAATGTTTTCCCATTCATCAGCTTCTTGAATACGCTGGCGTTCTCGAAGATCATGAAGAAATATGACAAGGTACTTTACTTCCCATTTGAAGGAGTAATATCAAATTAAGAAGGGTGACTTTGAAGAGGAAAAATAAAATATCCACACAAACATGTCTCCTTCCTTCTTACTTATGCCCCTTTGTAATTCCATTGTAGATTACATCAAGAGATGCATCAAAAGCGTACATGAAGACGGTGGACAGTTCTTACCTCGGAAGTTCCGACGATGTGAGATTTAGCTTCTCTGATCAACCATTTCTTCATTAGAGAAGTTACTCAATGAAGCAAGTCCTCCAATGTTTTTACTTTAATACTAATGTGATATTTGCCACTGCAGGTTGCCAAGTTAATGGAGAGGGTTGAGAATACATTCATCAAACATTTCTGCAATGCCAATCGCAGCAAGGCGATGAATATATTAAGACCGAAAGCAAAGCGGGAAAGACATAGGACGACATTTTCCATGGGTAAGTGCTCTGATTTACAACCATGATTTGCTGTATTGTACCTATTGTTTTGGGACAAGCCCCCATTTTACTACTCTTTCAAACTAACTCAAAAAATTTGCAGGCTTTCTTGCTGGTTGCTCTGCAGCTCTTGTTCTAGCGCTCATCTTAATTATGCGTGCCCGCCATATTATGGATACAACAGGAAGCACAAAGTATATGGAAACCATGTTTCCCCTCTACAGGTAACTACAACCCTACACTTAATCTTTCATATTATTAAATTAAACTACTTTGCAGTGAAAGAAAAACTATAGTTATTGGGTAATTCAGTTGCTTCAATCATTTTGGAAGCAGCATCATCAGAGAAAGAAAGTTTATTCTGCGTCTTATTGGTTTGACATATGAAACTATATGTTTTTGCAGCTTGTTTGGATTTGTTGTTCTGCATTTGATTATGTATGCTGCCAACATATACTTCTGGAGGCGATATCGCGTAAACTACTCCTTCATATTTGGTTTCAAGCAAGGAAATGAGTTGGGCTATCGTCAAGTTCTCCTTATCGGTTTCGGTCTAGCAGTACTTGGACTCGGCGCTGTGCTCTCAAACCTTGACATGGAAATGGACCCGAGAACAAAAGATTTCAAAGCAGTGACTGAACTTCTACCTCTGTTTGCGGTTATTGTAAGATTTTTTTCACACTAACCTTCTCCAGTGCTTCACTATTTTTGCATATGAAGTATTATTACTAATTGAACCCACTTTTTTCCTTCTGCAGCTTGTAACTGCAATACTGATCTGCCCGTTTAACATCATATATCGCTCGAGTCGTTTGTTCTTCCTCACTTGTCTGTTCCACTGCATCTGTGCTCCTCTCTACAAGGTAAATTCGGTTGTCCACAATGTATATGAGCTCGGAGAATACCGAAGTTGCTGTTATAAATTTAACAAATTTCTTTCCTTCAGGTGCTGCTCCCAGACTTTTTCTTAGCTGATCAGTTAACAAGCCAGGTGCAAGCACTCAGAAGTCTGGAATTTTACATTTGCTATTACGGTTGGGGAGACTACAAAATTAGAGAGACCACCTGCAAGGCTCACACGGTATTCCGAACCTTCAATTTCATCGTGGCCGTTATTCCATACTTGTGGCGCCTTCTTCAGGTATCCCAATCTTGCTCTTGGATTCAACTGCCTACTCAATCACAGTGTGTAGGAAGAACACAAGGAATTTTCAGTGCTTAGCTTAATGTTTTGTTTTGTTTTCGAACTTTCGCAGTGTCTTCGTCGTCTGTATGAAGAGAAGGACAATATGCATGCATTGAACGGATTGAAATACTCGTTTGCGATCGCTGCTGTTTGCTTCAGGACAGCATACAGTCTGAACACGGCAGTACGTGTTTGGTATGTTCTGGCTTGGGTATTTTCAGTCATAGCAGCAGTTTCAGGCACATACTGGGACCTCGTCATTGACTGGGGGCTTCTACAACGCCAATCGAAGAACCGCTGGTTGAGAGACAAGCTCCTCGTCCCACAAAAGAGCGTATATTTCATTGCCATGGTGAGTGACACAGAGATTCAATCGAAAAGTATCAATATTCATGCAATAAGAGGAGTAGTTATGTTTATTATAAATATTTGTTAGATCCCTTATCTTTTTAATGTGGGATCCTTAACAAAAAGGTCAGTTTCGAAATGTGTTTTTCGTCGTGATTTCTAAAGAAAACCGAAACATTGCAGGCATTGAATGTGGTGCTGAGGCTTGCTTGGATGCAAACAGTGTTGAACTTCCAAGTCTCTTTCTTGCACAGAGAAGGGTTAATTGCTATTGTTGCTAGCTTAGAGATCATTCGCCGCGGCATATGGAACTTCTTCAGGTAAATACATGAAAAGTTGAAGGACTAAAATAAAATATTTAAAAATTGAAGGACTAAAATAAAATAAACACGAGGCGTCTAACATTAACATTGAACGTGTTTGGATATTTCAGGTTGGAAAATGAGCATTTGAACAATGTTGGAAAATACCGAGCGTTTAAATCTGTGCCTCTGCCTTTCAACTACGATGAAGATGATAAAGATGAATGAGTGCTGAATTCTGTGCGGAATATTTGGAACACAACCAATCATATCTTTTTTCCTTTTTTTTTTGTATTTATTTTATTTTTCCAATGTGAATAGCAATTTTGCAAGGAATTCCCACCGTCCAATCTGCAGAAAAGCAAATCAAAGTTAAATGAGAAATACAAAAAAAGTTTCGACTCTTTTATGCTATGTATAGAATTGCATTTATTCTATGTTTCCTATGTGCATAGCAAATTTGCATGGAATTCCCACCGTCCGATCTGCAGAAAAGCAAATCAAAATTAGATGAGAAACGCAAAAAAAGTTTCATCTCTTTTATGCTATTTATAGAATGGTATTTATTCTATTTTTAAAAGTTTCTTTAAACCTTCACTGGTTTCTATGTTTTAAAAAGATTTTAATTGGCCAACTAGAGCATGGCTTTTAATAGATGCTTACATATTTAATTTAATTTGGTGCTTGGAAAAAAATTGACATGAAATAATTCATCATAGATGAAAACTTCCCAATTCAAAGACTTATTAGATTTATTATTAATTTTTTAAGTAGATGGAGTAAATGAGCATAATTCTAGAAATCAAACTCATAATTTAACGGGAAGATATTGCAAATATTACTAAAATACTATTACTCAACCATGAAAATCTAAAAATACTATTTTTTCTTAATATTTTATATGTGGGGTGAAGGATTTAAAATAAAAGTAAAAGGTTGTTATATAACATAGGTTAAAAGCAAGGTGTTAAAATTTTGTCCCTTGGCCAATATTTCTATTAATATTTTCATATATTTATGGGCTCAACGACGTGATGATTGAGTCAATATTTCTATAGTACTGCAAGAAAATCAATAAAATATAAAAAATATCAACCAAATATCACTAATATTAATATTTTAAAATTTATTCAAAGAGAGTGAAATTTTTATTGGTTAATTTAACTATTTGATATGAATTTTTATTGTATAGCTTTTTTCACGATATTTTATCCACGTCTATATCTATATTTCTATAAAATTGACCCTTCAAACTTTTCCCTGTCATAGTGACATTTTAAAGTTGGTTGAGGTAAAAAGAATCTGAAATGAAAACGAGAGTTTGATTTGATGTGGTTGGTTTGTTGGTTTGGCAACAACCCAGCAATGAATGACAATCCCAATTTAATTTGTCGCCATCTAATATTATACAACTTCTTTTTGGATTTTTTAATCTATTTATTTTGTTAAAAAATATATACAAATAATTGCTATTAGAGGTGTCCATTTTCTACACGGGAGGAGATCTTTTCCCAACTATCAATGGAGACGAAGAACGTTTCCTTACCCGCAGGCCCTGCCCCCTTCCCCTTTATTAATATATTATATATATTATTTTTATTTAATTAGTTTGCATTTTCTATATTTAATTAGACTCGGATAAAATATTATTTATCTTACGTGGTTTAGAATTTTTTCTTTCAATGAGAAGAAATAAAATAAACTACGTAAATGAGGTTGGAATTAAGCAACTAATTGGAATTAAAAAAAATATATGTTAATTCACAAAAAAATAAATGGAGAAAATTCTCGGTGGGAATTTCCACGTCCGTCTCCGCCCTATGAATATCCTTAATTAATTATTGTCAGCCAAAATTGAAAGCTCAATTTACTTCAATTCCTATTCTATTTATCACACAATTAATAAATTTATTATTTTATAAAATGGGATTCACTACTTTATTTTCTATTATCACGAGTAAATATATTTTTAAGTATTTCGCCACTTGTATAGACTATTATCACAAGATAACCATTTAATTATTTTGATGGTCTGCATGACGTTAACTAAAAAGTGATTATTTTGCCGACATGATACAAAAGAGTATTTGGTATTTGGTCCTTGGTTCAACGCGAATGATTAAAATATATTTTAAAATCGATTTTTTCACAGTTCTCCTTAATTTGATAGACCTAGAATCAAACTAAGGATTGCTGCTTTCCGCCTTTTCAAGTATGTGTGTGTATATATTTAAATTTTTTAATAAAATATTATCGATTAGTTTTTTATTTCTAATATATATATATATATATATATGAAAATATTTTAAACTTTTATATCTCTCAATTTAATTTGTTAACCATATTTATTTTTATTGTGAATCTAAATCTAGTTCTAGAGTATTTAAAAATATGAAATAGTGGCAAATGCATGTTATTTAATTATATACTTATTTAGATAATATTTATTAACTTTATAGTTGTTGTTTCTTCTCTAAGTTCAACATTTTTAGAAAATATCAAATATAGGTGGTAGGTCTCTAAATTTGTCCGGTATTCAATTTCATCATTTTTTATATTGGATTTGTTGTAATGTTCTGGTAGTATTTTTGTTTACATTTTATGGTAAATATTTTATGTTTGGTTTGTTTTATCAAAAGAAAATAAAAAAAATATTTGATTTCAATATCGATTTTCTTATTCATTTCCAAAATCAAATCTTAAAAAAAAAAAGTAATAAAATCAATTTTTTTATTAAATGTGCCTTTCCGTGTTTTATCAAAATAAAATATTTTCAATAAAAATAAAATATAATCTTACCCATTTGAAAAAGTTTTAAATATGATTTAGCATAATTCGAGTAAAATTCAAAATTTATTATAAAATCATCGGATTTGATTGATTGTACGGCAAAGATATCTGGTGAGAACCTACAATTTCTCTCCCAGTTATTTGTCTCTCTTTCTTGGTCTCTCCCCTTCTTTTTCTCTCTTCAACTTTTTATTTTCGTTTTTTTCTCTTTCCATTTTCTTTTTTCCCATAGCTCTCCCTATTTTTATTGTTTTTTCCTCTTCTTCTTTCAAAATTATTTATATATTTTTTTTCTCTCTCTGGGTTCTCTCTCATTCTCAAATATTCCTCTCTTCCACTCACCTGACTCTCTCCATCTTCTTTTCTTTCTTTTTCATTACTTGTTTTGTTTTTCATTTATTTTGTTCTTTTCTTCCTTATTTACTTTCTCTCAATTTTGGTTCAATTTTGGTTCTATGGTTATTCTCACTGTTATTTTGTCCTTCAACGTTTGAATTGCACCACAAGTCAATAAAGAGGACAAATCAAATTTGTTTTCAAGGTAGTAAGTTTTCATGTTTTCATTGAATGAAAATCAAAATAGGTTGATTTACTTTTTCATATCTCGTTTTAGTCATGTTCGAGTGTAATGTTATTTCACTCCTTCTTTAAAATACATTTTCTTTGTTTTATTTTATCTTATTTTTGTTCCTTGTTTTATTAATTTATCCATATTGCTAATCTTATATTATTGTTGCTTTAATTATTTGTAATATGAGATTTTATTGAATAATTTCGTAACATGTTTATCTAGATTATGATATTTGATAAAGGTGGGCATACATATTATGCAAAAATTTCTTGTAATACTATTTGATAAATATATATATTTTTAATTCAGGTAAAGATCTTCATTTAAAAAATTTCCAAAAGGGAACTTCTCGATGACAGAACCTTGAAATATTCGAGAAGTAGATGTTCTTGGAGTTTTGAAGGAAAAGATCAATATCTCGGGAGGTCAAGATTTGATTTTTGATATGTTTCCTATTGAATTCTGTATGTTTATTCGTGTTTTTACTTAAAAAAATAATTAAATTACTAAATATAAAATTGTTCGCATCTATTTTTTCCCTAAATAATTTACCTTTTTAAGCAAATAAATATCTTTTACTAAATTTTTTTTTGTAATTTTTTTGTTGTAAATAATTTTTAAAAACTAAGTATTTCATGAGTAATTGCATTTTTATAAAAGACATTTTATCACAAGAAAAAATTTTAAATAAAAAACATTCATAATATTTCTAGAAAAATAACAAATCACATATTTTTCTTTAACATTCTTCTAAAAAAATTTCTATGATGGAGATCGGGGAATTTGAGAGGTCAATTTCCTAATATTCTTGAGTTGATGAATTTATTTTGGGAGGTCAAATTAAATTCAAATAATTAAAATTTTCTTAATGGCTTTAGACCGCTCATAATTATTGCTCATTATTTAGCTTAAGAATACTGATCAATAAAACGTGAGACATTTAAAAATAAAATAAATCTTTTTCTTTAAAGGTCATTTTCTTGAAAATAATATGAGAAAATAAATTATCGTTCAATGTTGTGGGGTGCTAATACCTTCCCCACACATAAAAGACCCACGAACCCATATCTTTTTTGTGTAGATCAACTTATCCATGCATTTGGGTGACCAATCACACCCTATAAAGAAAGATTGGCGGCGACTCCATTTTTCTCCTATCGGAAAGAAAGTCAGTCACTCCACGTCGCAAACTCATAGCGATATAGATAAAAGTATGTTTGAAATTTTCAGAAAACAATTTGAAACTTTTGATAGTGTTGAATGAGAAATTTTGGTTGAATTGTTAAATGCTAGGTCACAAATTTAAAATTATATTTAGGCTCAATCACAAATTATGTCATGTGCCTTATGGCTATCTGATGACATCGGCTAATGGGATGAACTCATAAGGAGATTGGATCCAAATCCATTAAGCCCATGGGAATAAATCCCACATAAGATCCACTGAAAACTCTATAAATAGAGGGCGTAACCTCTCATTTGAGGGGAGAAGGATTGAAAAGAAAAGGAGATTTAGATACATTAGACTATCTTGAATTATCTACAAGCATTCAACAGAGCATTCAGAGGCAACAAAGCTAAAGACTTGAGGAATTGAATACTTGAAAACTACGAGACCTTAAGATATTGAATCTTCTCTTGGTCAACCAATAAGTCAAAAAAATTTGTTAAGCAACAAGCCAAAAACTTCATCAAGCTGCAAATCGGAAGAACTTCATAAAACTGTATAGCCGAAAAACTTCAACAAGCCTAAGAACTTCATCAACAAGCCAAAGACTTTGCATCAAGCTACAAGTCGAAGACTTCATTAAGTTATAAGCTAAAGACTTCATCAAGCTGCAGAGCCAAAGAACTTCATCAAGCTACAAAGCAGAAGAACTTCATCAAGCTGCATAGTTGAAAAACTTCAACAAGGCTAAGAACTTCATAAGATTTCAACAAGCTCAAAGCCAAAGGCTTCAAAGACTCTCTACAAGCACAAAGTCGAAAACTTCGCATCAAGCTACAAGTAAAAGACTTCATCAAGCTATAAGCTGAAGAACTTCGTTAAGCTACAGTTGAAGATTTCATCAAG